AACATAGTACAGGTAAATGTTGTATAGTAAAGGTAAGTGTTGTGTAGTACAGGTAAGAGTTGTAGAGTATATGTAAGAGTAATATAGTATAGGTAAGTGTTGTATAGTAAAGGTAAGTGTTGTTGTGTAGTACAGGTAAGAGCTGCAGAGTATATGTAGGAGCAATATAGTACAGGTAAATGTTGTATAGTAAAGGTATGTGTTGTGTAGTACAGGTAAGAGCTGCAGAGTATATGTAGGAGTAATATAGTACAGGTAAGTGTTGTATAGTAAAGGTAAGTGTTGTGTAGTACAGGTAAGAGTTGTAGAGTATATGTAGGAGTAATATAGTACAGGTAAGTGTTGTATAGTAAAGGTAAGTGTTGTGTAGTACAGGTAAGAGTTGTAGAGTATATGTAGGAGTAATATAGTACAGGTAAGTGTTGTATAGTAAAGGTAAGTGTTGTGTAGTATAGGTAAGAGTTGTAGAGTATATTCAAGAGTAATATAGTGCAGGTAAGTGTTGTGTAGTACAGGTAAGAGCTGCAGAGTATATGGTTTTGGCAGTGACATAAATTTTGTGTTTTGCAAAGTTTGCTGCTTCAGTATTTGTAGATTATTTTTCCACATGCTTCTATGGTATTCTGAAAAACAATGATAAGCATATCATAAGTTTTAATGGCTTTTATTGGCAAAAAACTATAACGAGTCAGTATTTACAGTGTTGTATGGTCTCAGGATGCTTCACTGTTGGCACGTCACAGGACTCATGGTTGCATTCACCTTTTCTTCTCCGAACAATCGATTTTCCAGACGTCCCAAACAGTCGGAAGGGAGCTTCATCAGAGAAAACTCCTTGAAGTTCTTGAGGATCCGGTAAATGGTTCTTTCAGGTGCAATATTCTTTGTAGCAATTTCCTTGCATGTGAGGCTTTTTTCAGGGATTAAAGTTTTCCGTCACTACGACGGATTTCCGTCAATTGGAACAAATGAGGGGAAAAGAAACATTGTTGTTGTTCTGCTGGTGTTGTGCCCATTTTCGACCCCCTGCCAAATTATTACCCCTCTCGTTGAAATCGCTATCTGATTGCCTAATCCTAACCCCACCCCTAATCCTAAACCCTAAACCTACCAATACTAGGGGGGTAATAATCTGGCAGGGGTCAGAATTGGGCACAACACCGGCACAAAGATCATCCCCGCCACGGCTGCAGCTTCTCAGTGACAACATAGTGAAGCATCATTCACAGTCGGGTTATTAGCAGAGAACACAGAGCAGAACTTGAATTTCGGCGTGGGATTGCGGCTATTAATAACAATTCTACTCATTCCCGCAGGTTCAGCGCTTATAACGCGATGGCAGATGACGGAACGTATCATTTGCACGTGCTTTTGAGTCTTGAGAACTCACTCGCGCGCTCTCATTTTCTGTGCGCCCACAGATCGCGATAAGGAGAGTGACCGCTTT